ATGAATGTTGATTGTGGATCCAAGTAAAATGAAATCCTTGACAACTTCAATATTTTCTCTTGTTTATCATGATGTTGCTTATTGGTCCAGCTGTAAGGATTTTTGCTTTCTTTATGTTGAGGTGTAATCCATACTAAAGGCTGTAGTCTTTGATCTTCATCAGTAAGTGCTTCAAGTCCTCTTCACTTTCAGCAAGCAAGGCTGTATCATCTGTATATCGCAGGTTATTAATGAGTCTTCCTCCAATCCTGATGCCATGTTCTGCAAAAGTACTTAGTAATAACAGATGCCAATACTTAGCTATTTATTTACTGTTTGCTTCTACGATTTGAGAAGGCATCTTTGTGATTTTATTTCAATTTTTTTCCCTAGATTTTATTTATTTTGTTGTTGCTGTTGAGAATATACACAGCAAAACATACACTAATATAACAGTTTCTACATGTACAATTAGTGACACTGATTACATTCTTGGTGTTGTACAACCATTCTCACTCTCCTTTTCTGAGTTGTTCCTCCCTCATTAAGGTAAACTCACTGCTCCCTAAAGTTCTTAGCTAATCTTTCCCGTTGCTATTGTCAACTTGATCCCATATAGATAGTTCTTAGAAGACCATAATGCTCAAGGCAGACCTTTTTTTCTAGTTAAGCTAAACTATCATCTGGTTTTAAACTGACTTCAGGGAATATTTTTGGTTTAAGGTTTAAAGATTATCTCAGGGCAATAGTTTCATGGGATTATCCACCCTTTATGGCTCCAGAAAGTCTAGAGTCCATGAAAATTTGAAATTCTGTACTGCATTTCCCCCTTTTGATCAAGACAGAATCTTGATCAAAATATTCAGTATTGGTAACCAGGCACCATCCAGTTCTTCCATTCTCATGATAAAGGAGGCAGTTGTTAAATTAGCCACACATTCCATATCCTCCTCTTCCTATTTCTGACTCTCCTTCTTCCTCTGTTTCTCCAGGTGAATAAACACCAATTGTTGTGCCTTGGACAGCCGCTTGCAAGCTTTTAAGACCCCAGGCACTACGCAAGAACTAGGAGGTAAAACAGAAGCACTAAATACATTATTATGCCAATTAACTGGGATATCCCATGGAACTATGACCCTAAACCTCCAAACCAAAGAACCAAATTCCATGAGGTGTTTGGTTGTACATAAGCAGCCTCAGCAGCTACTCTTTTTTTTTTTTGTCGTTGTAAATATATCTACCTCATAACTTTTGCCAATTCAACTTTTTACAGGTGTACAACTTACTGACAGCAATTACAATAATCAGCTGTGCAACCCTATCCTTAATCAGTGGGATTTTCCCATTACCGTTAACCCCCTTTTCCCTCTCCCTTCCATCCCTGGTAACCACTAATACATTTTGCCTTTTCTTGTCTTTTTATATAAGTGAGGTCATATAATATTTGTCCTTTTGTATTTCCCTCAGCATAATGTCTTCAAGCTCCATCCATACTGTAGCATGTATCAATACTTCATTTCTCCTACTATGTGAATAGTATTCCATTGTATGTATGTACCATATTTTGTTTATCCATTCATCAGTTTATGGACATTAAGTTGTTTCCACCTGTCTTAGGCTGGGTTCTCTAGAGAAGCAAAACCAGTAAGGTGTATAAATATATATATATAGAGAGATTATATCAAGGAAACAGCTCACGTGATTGTAGAGGCGGGAACGTCCCAAGTCCGTGGATCAGGGTAGCGGCCTCTCCCAAGTCACACAGCTGCAGAAGCTGGCAAGCCCAAGATCGGAAGGTCGGAGAGCAGGGCTCCCACTCACAGGCTGTGCAGATCGACAAATCCCAGGTTCGGCAGATAAGCTGACAGCTCAAGTCCCAAGAACGGGAGATGAGACGACAGGAAGCAGCCACAGGATCCAGAGAGAGCAAAAAGCTAGAACGTCTGCTTATATACAGATGCGGGCCACACCCCCAAGAAGACTCCCTTTCATCTGATTGGCTACTCACAGTATATTCAATCATGGGAGTGACTACATTAAAACACGGAGAATCATGGCCCAGCCAAGTTGACACACAATCTTAACCATCACACCACCTTTTGGCTATTGTGAATAGTGTTGCAATGAACAATTGTGTACAAGTTTCTGTTTGAGTCTCTGCTTTCAAGTCTTTTGGGTATATATATACCTAGAAGATTCACATTCTCTTAGCTTTGCTTGCTAAGCCTCACATGGCTTTGTACCTGTCCTGCAACTACCCTAGCCATCACCTCAGTATCCATGTTTCCACACATCTCATTCTGCATCTGTTAATGTGTGACTGTGTATATATTCATTATCCTACTTCTACTGACTCATCTCAACTAGCCACCCCCTCAAGGAAGGAACTCAGGGTCCTTGGAACATTCAATAAGCTAAATATAATGACCCAATCGGTAAAACAGGTGATACATATTGTCATGGCAGATCAAAGAAGCAAATTAAAATAGTGACCTGGAAGAAGACACCAAGAAAGTAAATAAGGATGGAAGATAGACATTGGTACAGCGTTGAGACCATTAGGAGACATGCCTATGAGTTGGTGAGCAGTGCATAGCTCCTGCCCCTGAGAAGTCTAAGGTCTTGCATGTGCAAGGTGCTGTATACATGCCTGAGGCCAGGACACAATGACCAGCTCTATAAAGTGAAGCAGGGATCTGGAGTCCAATTTCTAGCTCCTCCACTGATTTGCTCTCAGTGATATGGTGAACAACCATCTTCACTCCCCTGTGTGTAGCTCTATCTGTAAAGTAGTTATTTTCTTTCTTTTTTCCCCTCTATCTTCATTAACTCTCTAGCTGATTTCATCTAGTTCCATAGCTTTAAATACCATCCATATGCTCATGACAAATATATACCTATAGCTCCAACCTTTCCCTTGAGTTTGAGACTCAGAAATCCATTTACCTACTCTACATCTTCACCTCAGTGTCTTCTGGACATCTCATACTTAATATATCCAAAACCAAACTCTTTATTCCACCTCCAAACTGCCTCCACCCTATTTCAGTAAATGGCAATTCTTTCCTCTCAAGAACCTTGACTTTGTCTTCTCACTCACATCTCACATCCCAACTATTTGTTGGCTCTACCTTCAAAATGGAAACCCTGGTGGTGTACTGGTTAAGTGCTATGGCTGCTAGCCAAAAGGTCAGCAGTTCGAATCCACCAGGTGCTCCTTGGAAACTCTATGGGGCAGTTCTACTCTGTCCTATAGGGTCGCTATGAGTTGGAATTGACTCAACGGCAACGGGTTACCTTCAAAGTAAATCCAGAATATAATTACTTCCCATCACCTCCATAGACACCATCCTGATCTAAGCTAACATCATCTTTCACCTGGATTATCGCAATAGCCTTTTAACTGATCCCCTTGTTTCCACCGTCACCCCCTTACAGTCTACTGTCTACACAGAAGCTAGCCTGATCATTTAAAAAGGCAAGTCAAAACCCTCCTCTGACTTCCGTCATTTTGATAAAATTCAAAGTTCTTCCCAAGGCATTTAAAGCTCAACACAGTTTTATTCTAGATCCCTCTGATCTCATCTTCTAAAATATTCTCCCTTGTTTACTCATCTTGAGCCACAGAGATTCCTTCCTGTTTCTAGAATATGCCAACCACCCTATCCAAATAGCATTCCATCCCATTATCATTCTCTAATCACCTAACTTGTCTGATTTTTCTAAACAGCACCTATGACATATTGTCTTGCCCAATTAGAACGTAAACTCTATAAGAACAGGAACGTCTGTTTAGTTCACTGTGTTTCCCCAGCACTTAGAACTGTGCTTCTGCAAAAACACTAATGCAAAAACACTAATTTCTATGTGTGATATTCAAAGGATTTCTCACTTCATTAAAAACAAACAAAAATCTATTTTGGTTGCTCAGAAACACAATCATAAAATAATAAAAATACGTTTAGAATGAAGCTAGATTCCACAGCATTCGTCAGGAATTCCAACTATAGAAAATTATGAATGAAATATTCAAAGATATAGGCCTACCAGATGCATCAGAATCACGAGCATTTGACAGAGGTCATGTGCCCAATTAAGTGAATATTCTCGTTACATATTCACCAGCTCATAAACAGAGGATGACCCAGACTTGACTGCCCTGATGAATCTGTTTGGAAGAAAGGAATTACATCACGGACTGGAAAACCTCAAGGCATGTGCCCAGGCAGGCGACACACACTCAGTCCAGGCTCTAAATTCTGAACCCCAATTCGACTGTCAAACAAGGAAGCCCGTCTTATGACCAGCTGCCAGGGGGATTCTCTGAGCCTGACAGTCACCTTTAACTGCTCTGCCTGTTAAGGTTAAGGGGAGTCTCTTAGTAATCAGTAATGTTACACTCCTCAAATGAGTATTTGTGATACCTTTTCTTAAATGTTTTAAAAATTCATTCATGAATAGAGAAGAAAATGGGAGTTGTTTAAATTTGATTTCTACGTCCAAGGCAACCTATTATGACTGACCTCATTACTACACCTCCGTGTTGTCATCAGTACCCCTTCCCCCACAGTCCCCTCAAATTAGACACACACCCCTATACAGAGCCCCCAACCTGCCACCACTCCAAACAATGCTCCCCAAACTGTTAATATTCGCAAACTCCTTGGCGTCATCAACATTCAGAGACATCTCAGTCATTCATACCCCCTAAATCCCCTTCCCGTCACCAACACGCCACTCTCTCCCGTCAACAGCCCTTTGTAAGAGTCCTATCAGCCATTCGCCCAAACTCCCCTTTCTGTCACCAACGGCTACCGAGACCCTGCTCCAGTCACCAGTTCCCCGAACGTACCCTCACAACCCGCCCAACCCGTCGCCAAGACCACCCTCCTCACTCACCGCTCAGCTTCCCGCTGCGTCCTCCCGGACTCCTCCCCTTCGCGTGAGGCCCCGCCCCTTGCTGTTGGGGCCCGGAGAATGGCGCCGGAAGCCCCGCCCCCGCCGGTTGCTAGGCTCCGGCTGCCGGAAGTCCCGCCTGCCGCGTAGTCGCCGCCGCTGCTGTTGCCGCCGTCGTTGTTGTTGTAGTCCGTGAGCTGAACACCTCGGCTCCGAGAGCCGTCTCCGTCCCCTTCTCGCCGCCGCCATGAAGTGGATGTTCAAGGAGGATCACTCGTTGGGTAAGCGCTCGGGCGCCGGCCGGGCCGCGGGGGTCGGGGCGGCGGGTGGGTCCCCTCCCCCACTCGGGCCGCCCTGGGCCGGGCGGGGCAGATGCCGCACCCCAGGCTTGGGTCGCAGAAGTCCCGGCACCCCGGGCAGCGACATATGGAGCCGGTTCCGCCCTCCGTGGGCCCGGCCTGGAGCCAGGGAACAGAGATCAGCGGCCGCCGGGACGCCGAAATGAGGGCCTCGGGCGTTTGCAGGTCGCAAGGGGAGGAGGGTTGGGGGCCCAGGAACTAGCCGACGAGCAGGCGCGGCCGTCAGCCCCTTGTATTTCCCCCCGACAGAACACAGATGCGTGGAATCCGCGAAAATCCGAGCGAAATATCCCGACCGGGTTCCGGTGAGTGTTCGGCCTCCCCCACCTCCTCACCTCGTTGTCACCCCTGCCGTCTGGGGCCCATGGTAGGGCCCTAGGCCATTCAACAGTTGACATGTTGAGGTTCTAGACCCAGTTCTACCATCAGATGGGCCAGACTGGGTTAGGGAGGTCAGGGGCCGGGCGTGAAGGGGCTTGGGCTGGTGCTGTTCAGGATTCTTCAGTGCTGAATCTTCCGATCTAGGCCAGCAAGCCGTCTGCAGCCTCTGGGCTCCCTCGCTAGTTATATAAGGATTGTTGTACTAGGACAGGGCAATAGGTCACTGCCACTTTTGGGAATGGTGGTGGAGGGAGATGACACTTCGATCGTGCAAGTACTACTTCAGTCTCAGGACATTCATCTTTAACTTCGAGCCTTCATCTTTAGCTAACCTCTAGCTCCCTTTCCTCACCCTGACCCTGTCATCCTTGGTGACCAAAAACTGAGAAGACAGACCCCTTCTCCCCTGGTTTCCCTTAATTGACAATAAATGTGATCTTATGTTTCTTCCATGCTGGAGTAGTTTCTGTAATCCTTATTGTTAAAGGACATCCAGGCCTGTTATTGAAGCTCTTTGTCTGTGAACAGTTCTTTTGGGGATGGAGCAAATTTGAAACGTAGTTCACAGAGAAGCAACAAACCAAATGAAGACGTTTGTTTTTGGCCGGCTGGGATTGCCAGTCATTCCCATTAGTCCATCCATTCTTGTCTCCTGGGTTCCTTGAGACTTTAATTCTCCTGTAGTGTGAAGGCGGATCCAGTGAGGCCTGGAGTAACAGGCTATACGTGAAACTCTCACCAGATAGTCTTGGGTCTGCCCAAACTGTTGAAAAGCTTAGTAGTAAGGGCTGTGTGTTTCCCTTACACAGGCTGAGATCAGGGATGAGAAATATAATTGACCACAGAAAAGCACTTACTGTTTTCATGTAACACATTTATATCAGCCCTCAACCTCCAGAGTGTGTGGTTTATTAAGCCAGGAATTTATTTTCTAATGCTGTGCAGTTTCCCACCCACCTCCCAGCCCACACTCTTCATCAGTTCCCCTGACAATTCGATGCTAGAGCCTCACTTTAGAAATCCAGTTCTGACTTCTGTTCACTCTCCCAGGTGATTGTGGAAAAAGTCTCTGGCTCTCAGATTGTTGACATTGACAAACGGAAGTACCTGGTTCCATCTGACATCACTGTGGCTCAGTTCATGTGGATCATCAGGAAAAGAATCCAGCTTCCTTCTGAAAAGGCAATCTTCCTCTTTGTGGATAAGACAGTCCCACAGTCCAGGTGAGAGATGGTCACTAGATGGCCCCTCTATACTGACCATTTGCTTAGCTGCTTACAGAACTCAGAACTTTGGAGGTCTAAAAACTCTTAAGGCTCTTGGCTGGAAACCTGGATTTTGTGCTCCCTGACATCCAGAGCGCCAGGAAGATGAGGAAGGGCTGCAGTACGTGGAGTGTACTTTTTGTTAAGAAAGTAGAACAAGGCCTGGAGTTTTTAAAAAAAAAAAAAAAAAATGATGAAACCCAGCCTCAGGCCCCCAGGAATCCTTTAAAACAGTTGCAGACTCAGGCTTAGACCTGAGATCTGAAATGAAGTTTTCCAAGATGAGCCCTGTCACTCTCCACCAGGAGCTTATGGTCCCTGTTGAGGCTCAGCTTCAGCTAATTACCCTGCCTGCTTGCTCTCCAAACTCAGTCAGCTCTTGCCATGGGGACAGTCTGTAGCTGCCTGATTCTCAAGTCCGTTAAAATGGCTGCTGTCCAGTAAAGGGCGCTAAGGTCTCTTTACACACTGACATCTCCCTTTGTACCACCTGCTTTGACCTACAGAGTAATGGCTCCCATACTCTAGCTGTTTTGCTGCCTGGAAGCGGGCTTTGGGATTATAACTTTGGGGCCTAAATCTAGGCAGAATCATTACAATTCTTCTCTTCCGTGTAGGTGACAAACCAGCTTTTGTCTCCTGTGGAAAAAGGAAAAGGGACTGGCTCAGTCTAAACCACTGGCCAGTCCTTTCCCATTACTGATTTGGTACTTGTAGTCCTGGAACCAGATTCTAGCCCTTATCTCTCCCCTCAGTGGGAAGTTCCTGGCTGGCTGTTATTTTGATGATCCAAGACTACCTCAAGTTTCTTTTGTTACCCCTAAAAGTAGTATTTCTAAAATGCTAAAGTTTTCAGAAGCCCTGAGAACTAGCCCAGTGTGGCCAAAATAGGCTCTGTGAAAATCCTTAAAGGCTCCAGAAGAGACCTAAGCCAAATTCCAGACCTTATTTCTACTAAAGGTAGAAAGCTGTGACTATTTTTAGGTCTGATTTCCTCTTTCCCAGTCTCCACCACCACCACTTCCTGGTGTTTGGCAGAGTGGCAGGACATGGGAAAAACAGAAGACTCTTCCTTAAGGCCAGTGTCCTGCCTGGGGAGATAGGCCAGGGCCTGCCCACTGGGCGCCATTGGTCTACGAAAGCTGTGGTATTGGGCTTTTCCGGTCTTCCTTCTCCACAGGCCTCTGGGCAGTGTGTTACTGGGTGCACTAGTCACCAGGGGAGGAAGCCCTGGGCATTTGTGGTCACTCTCAACTTCCCTTAGGGTTGTGGAGAGGTAAATCCTCGTTTGTACACCTGCAGCCTCAGCAGGGCCTTGGCCACCCTGTTTCTTCCTTCCTGAAGGTGGCTTCTTGGAAGAGGAAGTAGGTATGGTATTGAGTTTGTTTTCCTCAACTCTGATCCTCCCGTACTTCTTGAAGGATGTTGAATGAAGTTAAGCAGGCTTCTGGAGACAGTAAGGTTACTCCGATGGTTAATCTAGCAATTAAAATGACTGCAGGTCTCACCAACTACCTCCTCCCCCATTAGCCCCAAGATATAAATAGAATTGGAAGTGAAAAATGATTCTCTCTCCATGCAGCAGAGGCTGCTTCATGACCATTTTCTATCAAGCCCCATTTACCTTTTCAGCCTGGTGAGAACCTGCGTTAAAGTGGACTATTACCAGTGACCCAAGTCCAGATTTTAGGAAAAAGTAACCAGGAACCCATGTCCTGATCCTGCTTCCCCACTGCAGTGTTTACAGAGGTCACAAAGAGCTGGTGCTTTCTGAGTCTTCCCTCAGTCACTATCCAAAACCCCTCTGCCCAGGTCCTCAGTATGTTTAGCCCTAGTTAATGACTTCCCACTCAACACTTCATGCAGCAGTTCCTTGTTCATTTTGTTGTTTTATTAAAAACAAATTTGTTTATAAACAAAGGAGGCATGTGATATCATTGGTCTTTATGCAAATGATAATCACCTGATAGCACAAACAAAAGTACCTTAGGGTCCCCATAAGCTGGTGTGTGACTCAGCCTTACTCTCTCCTCTCCATGGTGGGTTAGCAGTCTACTCCTCAGCTCTTTCCAGGCTCCTTAGGGAAACCTGGGGCTTCCATTAACCTTCAGCTAATGCTTGCAGCCTTCTAAGAGTGGCTGGAGAAATCAAGAGTTGAGAATGCATGAATCCAGCCTACAGGAGCCCTCCCCCATCCCAATATTGATTCTAGAAATAGAGACATAGGCCCTAGTAGTTTTACCTACTTCCTAAATTGTTTCTGCGTTGTTTCTTTTTTTTTTAAAAAAAAAAAAGATCTAAACTGCCTTTTCCCATTTAGTGTTGGAAAGTTGAAGTCTCCGCTTAGGTGCCTGCATCAGGAATCAGGCCATAAAGGAAAGGGGAACTAGGCCTTGGTGTAGACAGGACTTGAGAAAGAACGTCACTGTACAAGTTTCCCAGAGTTGTGGCAGTAGAGGGGCACATCCAGGCCTGGCAGTGGTCCTGCCTTTTGGCTTTTGTTTAGAACACAGACAAGAGTCTTGTTAATCTGCTGTTTAAAATAGAAATAGAGATATATTATTAAATAAAATACCTCTAAGATGTTTTAAGGAACCCTGGTGGTGCAGCGGTTAAAGCGCTTAGCTGCTAACAGAAAAGTCAGCAGTTCAAATTCACCAGCTGCTCCGCTGGAGAAAGATGTGGCAGTCTGCTTCCATAAAGATTTACAGCCTTGGAAACCCTATGGGGGCATGTCTGCTCTGTCCTATAGGGTCGTTGTGAGTCGGAATTGACTGATAGCAACAGGTTTGATTTTGGTTTAAGATGTTTTAATTTGACATTGAGAAACCTGTGCTGTTTAAGATTACTGTGTTCAGTTGCTTCTAGATTTAAAGAGGTACTGAGTAAAAGGAAGCTGTGATAGTCCATTCATCTTTTATTAAGCAGCTTAATTGAACACTTTTGATCATTTCTGGGTAAATAAATACATAATTCCTCTTTAAGAACAGGGTCTATTTCAGCAGTGGGCGTGATCCTAAGAAAAGAAAATCTGATAAAAGAAACAACCAGTTGTTAATCTTTATCAGGGCCATATTAACTTTCCCTTTGCCCTAGTGCCTTTCCAGGATCAACAGCAGTGGTCCTTCTCCCCACACCATACTCCACTCATCCCTACCCACTAGAATAAATTCAGGTCCAGTGGAAGCACATGGGATGGGCTCCCAAGCAGATGGGTGGCCAGGTGTGCTCATCAGTGCAGCCAGTTCAGAGTCAGGCTGGATCCAACACCCTCCATGACCTGACCTTGATCTGAGGCAGAGGGCAGGTTCTACAGGGATGGACATCCCACAGTTGTAGGTCACCTTCCCCCAAATCATAGGCTATTGAGTAGCATAAAAGTAATGTTTGCCCTCAGCTGCTTGGCCATTCCTGAGTGTGATCTTGCTGAAACTTGCCTTTATTATTGGTTTGTTTCTGCCCTGGAGAAGTGGTTTTCCTGGCTCTGTGTGACCCTGAACAGAGAGGCAGGGGGAAAAGATCTTAAGGGGCAATTTAGATTCATTTCATGCAGTACTTCAGGTCCTGCCACACCTTAGATTGGCTTCATGGCTTGAATCTGCCATTGGCTCCTTTTCCCATTTCTCTCCTCCTCAGACTCCGGAGTTGGAAGGTGGCAGCGCCCTTGGTACGCAGCAGCAGCATCCTTGGATAAGTGCTGTTTGGGGAAGAAGCATATAGTACTGGAGGCCACCTTTGGGTGTCTTCTCCACCTGCCTCCCAGCTACTCAGGCAGGAAGCCTTGGAGTTGCAGTGCTGCTTGTGAGTTCACAGGCTATCTAGCAAGCTTGTGCAGCTTAGCCTGTAGTCTCATTAGAGCTGTCTCTGTGCTTCAGGCTCCTCAGGCAAGAAGCAGTGACAATGCCATGTGGCTCAGGCCTTTCTAAATTCCTAGAGGGAGGCTCATCTTCTCAGAGGTTTATGGAACTTGTGAGAAACTGACACACCAGCTTCCCAAGGCTGCTATGGGCTGCCTGCTGTAGGGTCACTTTTTGCCCCCTGGGCTTCCACTTGAGTGTTCTTTTAATGGAACTTTTTTTTTTTTTTTAACTATATTTATGGCCCAGTGCTTTATGGCTGTAGGCCAGGTTACTCTGACTCTGCATGTGCAAGGCCCGATCCCACAAGCACTAGCTTCAAATCATCCTGTACACATGTGCTTTTCTAGTTTAATGACACTCAGTTGTATAGCCTTGAAATCAGGTAGGTGTTCAGTCTTGGGCTGCTGCTGAATAGATTTCTTCAGCTCCCAACATTGAGTGTTGTCACCAAGTTCCTTGCCCAAGGGATATCGCGAGTATAAGGACACAGAGCTGCTGCTAACTAAAGTTTCCACACAAAGCTAGTGTGACAGTGAAAAGGAGAACAGTGATAGGACTCTTTAATAAAGTCATTAGGCACAACCATCAAGCTATCAAATTACCAGATCTGAGGGAGCACACTCTAAGGCCTTGCTACTCAATGAGTGATGTGGCACTGGCAGCATTGGCCTTACCCAGAGCTTGTTAGAAAGCAGAATCTTAGGCCCCACCTCAGACCTACTGAATCCAGATCGGCAGTAGAACGAGATGCCAGGGGATTTGTACACACATTTGTATGCATAAGTGCTCTTCTAAGGAAGATCTCTGCAGAAGGTACAAGGATTCTGATGTTAAATGTTATTGGAACAGATCTGCAGTATAGCTTGGCAGTGATGAATTTGCCTAGCTTTGTGACCTTGGATCACACACACATTAACCTCTCTGTGTCTCAGTTTCCTTACCTATGAACTATGGAGGTTGATAGTACCTCCTCATAAGACTGTTTCGAGGATAAAAAGAGTTAACATATGGAACACACTTAGAACAGTTCTTGGCACATAGTGTTTCCTATTATAATTATGGTTTTTATTATCTGCCTTTATAGTTATCAAACGAATTGATAAACCCAAGTTTTACCTCAAAGACAATAGAATCTAAAGGCAGAAAGGAATAAAAGCCACATGATTATGGGCCTTTGTCAAAAGTCAGGGCTCAGAGCCTGAGAGCTTGTTTTAGACAGTAGTGGTCCTAGTGGTCATTGTTCACCGTGGGCAGCATACAAAGTCTGGGCCGGGCCACTGGTGTTTATAAAACTCAAATATTTCTAAGTTAGCAGCTGGGATTTGGAATCATTGCATTAGGGCTTCTAACTTGTTAGGAAACGCACAGAACTCAGTCTGTCAGTTGGCACCAAACCTGACAGAGGCACCAAGAGGTGGCTGCCTTTTAATCGCCCACAGTGTCTGCTACTGCTGTGTCTTAAACATGAACCCATTTGTTAATGAGAATGAAGAGATGATATAATAGTCCCATCAAAGTCATCCAGGACACTTAGGCCAAGTGGTGCAAAGAGAGTTGTGGCAATAGCCATAGCTGTTTTCCCATAGCTTCATTTTGAGGAGCCCTACAGAAAAGCAGGGATTTGCTCGGGGCTTTCTCAGCAGTCAGGGTGAAAATCTTCTTGGGAGACTCAGCTACATGTTTAAGCCCTTTTGCTAGTTGCTGGCTCTTCACTTTACTTTCTAATCATCTTAAAGATGAGCATCTCAAGAACACTCTTCTTCCTCTGGGCAGGTTCTCAACCTGACTGCATGTGGAATCATCATAGGCATTTAAAAACTGATGGGTCCCACCTCCAGAGATGCTGAGTTAATTGGGCTGGGCTGGGACTGGGGCTGGGGCTGGGGCTGGGGCTGTGGCATGGAGATTTTTTTTAAAGATCCCCAGTGATTCTGATGTGCAGCCAAGGTCTACACCCACTGCTCTGGGTGTTCTCATGGGCAGGGTTTCCTCCTCCTATCCGCTGCCCCAAGTCCTCACATGGTCTGGGGCAGTGCCGTGAACAGAAGTATCACTTGAGCCACATATGTAATTTAAAATTTTCCAGTACAACATTAAAAAATTCAAACAGGTGAAATAATTTTAGTAATTTATTATAATTTTGAGTACATATTAAAATAGGGTTGCTATGAGTCAGAATCAACTTGACAGCAATGGGTTTTGGTTTTTTTTATATCTAAAGTGTTATTTGAGTATGTACTAACTAACCTACTGCCATCGAGTGGATTCCAACTCATAGTGTCCCCATAGGGTTTCCAAGGCTGTAAATCTTTACAAAAGCAGACTGCTACATCTTTCTCCGGTGGAGCCGCTGGTGGTTTCAAACCGCCAACCTTTCGGTTAGGCGTTGATCACTTTACCCACTGGGCCACCAGGGCTCCATTTCTGTATATAATCAAAATTATTGAGATAGAAAAAAAAAAATTATTGAGATAGTTTACTTTTTTTTTCTTTCATATTAAGTCTTCGAAATCCTGTGTTTTACACTTAAAGAACAGCTCAATTCAAACTGGCTACATTTCAAGCACTCAATAGTTACATGTAGCTAGTGGCTACTATGTTGAACAGCACAGATACAGAACATTTCCTTCTATTGGACAGTGCTGTTCTACAGAGTCCTGGCTTTACAAATGCCAGGGTAAGAGATCCTCACAGGGTACAGTGTTTTACTGTACAAGATGCTAATGCCAGTCCATTTTGTATTCATACTCATCTACCCCCACATTATTACTTAATCCTCTCATCTACCCACACAGCTTACAATTGGGACAGAAAGAACAGGAAAGAAAAGAAAAATCTCTGTATAAATGTGGCCTGGGTCCCTGCTTTACCCACTCAGCCAGCCAGGAGCAAGGCAGCAGAGTGGGGCTGTCATTGTTTGCTTTACTAGCTGGAGGCCCTGGAACCCTGTCTACCTTACTGGCCCCTGGTTGAGTGGGTCTTGCAGTTAAGTATTTTTTGTAACCTGTCTTGACTAGTGACCTCTGATGTCTCAAGTCAGCTCTTAGATGGTGGATCTGACTGCTGGTTCTGGTTGACCCCACCGCTTATGGTCACACTGCTGCTTAGTCAGCTCGGGCATGCTGCACTTCCTGCTCAGCTTGAATAGTACAGTCACGTGGCCAAAAGCTTGCACAGGGTTCCAGGTGTTACTAGTCTTAACTCTGGGGCCGGCACAACTCAGTTTCATGGCAGAGGACTAGATTAGGTCTCCTCCACTGCAGTCTGTTTTACATTTAGGGAAAGCAAGCTTTCCTACCCACACATTTCATTTGAGGAATATCTATTTCTGGAGGGTTCTTTGAGAGGTTGGGCAGGGTTTCTTTGCATTCCAGATACAATCTGAGAGTTTTTTTTGATTACATATGAGGAAAATAACTTGTTTTTCTTTGACGATGCCAATGCAGATCTCTGGGGACAGAGGGTTTTGGCAGGGGAGCTTCCACAGAATGAATCCACTTGTACCTGTCACGTCAGGTACACATAAATCTTCAGGCAAACCAACTTGAAGGAGGAAGACAGCCCAATGTACTCTTCCTTACCTGGCTCCTTCACCCACACAGCGATGGGCCTCTCAGGATTTTGCTTTAGGTTTTTCCTTGCACTTGACATTTAAAGTATGCATGTGCTAACCAGCCACCCCCATACATGGAGCTGACCTCTTTAAAGGATTTACATTTTGTGAAGGTGAGTGAGGTCAGATGGCCTTGTCTCAGGGCCAGGAGGATGGATACTTTGGTTCTAGTCTTACTTACTGACCCCTGGTAACCTAATTTATCTTAATCTTTCCCTGGCTCCATTTCCCTTCCAAACTCCATGTCTGCTGAAAGGAGAAATTATTTTTACTATGTACCACTAAAGGTCATTATAAGTCATAATCAACTCGATGGCAATGTGTTTTACCACCAAGGGTGTGCTAGGGAGTGGCTAGGGAAGCACTGCAGTTAGCCTTCTTACTCTCACCTCATCTTTCTCTTGACACGTGGACTCGGTAACCAATTCCAACTCTCAATGTTGTTTCTTGTTTTTCTCATTCAAGCCTAACTATGGGACAGCTTTACGAAAAGGAAAAAGATGAAGATGGATTCTTGTACGTGGCCTACAGCGGAGAGAACACTTTTGGCTTCTGAGGGCCAGCGCTAGGCTAGGTGCACCGTTCCCGTTTGTGTATCTTGTAAATAGCCAGCCATTTTCAGTTATTACACCAGACCCTCTTGACATAGACCTATTAGTGCATTTGTAACTGGATTTATTTCTTAATATATTGGAAGGTTTTGTTTCCTTAGATTAGTAAATTATCATAGTTTTATTTTGAATTTTTCTTTTTGTGCATTGTCCTCATGGCTATACTATCAAGGGAACCTGTTTCTCTGGGAATCATATTTAATGAAGATATTTCCACACTGAAGTGAGGTAGGTGGGGTATTAAAGTGAAAAGGAGGGAGATGATGCATTTATTCTGGATTATGTTTGAAGTGTTAGAAGTGTTAGATGGCTAAGTATTAAAAGCATCCAAATTAAATCCTTAGCAATCAGAACACTTGCTTCACTAGATTTTTGCCAACTGCCAATCATGTTGGACTGAGCTAATCTGTTCCTCTTTCTGAAACTGTTAAGGTAAATAATTAACAATAAAACTTGCTCTTGTAAAGGCACTGCAGTGTGGCCATGTCCTTCATTCACTTTCGTTTGGATGGGTCAGAGAAGCAGCATCTGCTGGGGCATGAAGAGGGCTTGTGGGAGACATGGCAGCACAGCTGGGCCGGGAAGTAGTGGTGTCAGCCATGTGTCATAAGGAGGGATTGCTTGGGCCCATATGTAAGCCACACCAGTTCCTGAGGGGACAGATGGAAGTAAAGGAGTGATATGAGGCCACAGACTTCTCCACTGAGAAAAATCACCATTGTTCAATAAGGACTCTTATAATATACCTGCATTCCTTAAAAAAAATTATTTAAATCTTTTGATATATCCACATGGTTTAAATATCAAGACTATATAAAAAGGTATACATTGAGAAGTCTTGCCCTCACCACTGTTTTCTGACCACCCCTGCCTCTTATAGGGAACTGCTTTTACTGTTCCTTGTTAGTATTTATTTTTGTACATATAATTAAATATGGATATATATCCTTGTTTTCTTCCTTTTTACACAAAGAAAACATTATATACACTTATGTACATTTTTTTTTCATTTAAAATTAGTATATCCTTGTGATCTTTCCCTATCAGTTCATAGCCTTTTCATTCATTTTTACAACCAAATAGTATTCTACTGTGTGGATATACCATAGTTATTTAACTAGTCTCTATTAATCGGCATTTGGGTTTTTCAAAATCTTTAACTACTACCTACAGTATTGTAATGAATAACCATATACATACATCCTTTTATATGTTCCTGTGTTAAGGTGCTGCTTTGTAATTCCTTCTTCCTAAAAATCAAGATTAAATTTTTTTCCAGGCCCATGAATTTCATAATTTCTTACAAATTAGCATAGAGATACAGGCTTCACAGGAGACAAAATGTATTTGAGAGGAAATGCTTACTTTCCTAACTCTTCCTCTGATGGAGGCTAGGGCCCTACATAGATTATCAGAATAAATAAACCAGGTATCACCAAGCAATTGAAGAACATGTAGTTTAAAATGAATGTAAAAACTTTCTATTGGGGAAGAAACAAAGATCTTTATCTTTACCAAAGTACAGGTATACATCGCTTATCGTCCTTTTGGGCAACATCCTACCAGATATACGTCTGTGGGCCAGGGCACCCAGGTGTCTGTGTGCCAGGATGCCAGACCCTTGTCTTGAGGTCGGAGCCCCACTTCCACCCGGCTGCTGTGCATGGCCCAGAAGCCACCAAGTCTGTGGGATGGAGGCCAGACCCAAACTCCTAACCCTGGTCCTCCTGGGCTCCCCCGACTTCACAAGTCTAGTGCCTGCATTTTGCCTGGTGTGATCCTATAGGGCGCTGATGGCTTAGCAGAGAATCCCAGACAGAGCTGGAGAAAATCGTAGAACAAAATTCTAATCCCAGACAGAGCTGGAGAAAATCGTAGAACAAAATTCTAACTCACAAAAAAAGACCAGATTTACTGGCCTGGCAGAGACTGGAGAAACCCTGACAGTATGGCCCCCAGGCACCCTTTTAGCTCAGGAATGAAGTCACTCCTGAGGTTCACCCTTTAGCCAAAGATCAGACAGGCCCACAAAACAAAATGAGACTAAAGGGGCACACCAGCCCAGGGGCAAGGACTAGACGGCAGGAGAGGACAGGAAAGCTGGTAACGGAACCTAAGGTCGAGAAGGGAGAGTGTTGACATGTTGTGGGGTTGTTAACCAATGTCATAAAACAATGTGTGTACTGTTTAATGAAAAGTTGCTTTTTCTGTAAACCTTCATCTAAAGTACAATAAAAAAAAAAATGTCTTCATCTTTTATCTTTTGTTTTCTTTGTTATCTTTTGTTTTCCTCTGTGTTGATCTCATTCTCAGGCAGGTTCCTTCCGTATGATGGCAAAGATGGCCCCATCAGCTTAGCAACGGTGCTGGAAGAGCATCTCTTCTGAGAGCACTGGCGAAAGTCCCTGGGAGGACTCTGGTTGGTCTTGCTTGGTTTGCCAGTCAGCTCCGCTTGGGGCGGGGGCTGGTGGGAAGGAATGATGAACTTCTTCCCTCACCATATGAACAGAAAAGGACTATAAAGAAATGGAGGAGGGTGATTTTCCAAAGGCATTTTGGATCTATTTCTATTAACAATCACCCACAAATACAAATGAGCAGAAAGAGATAAGAAGAAAATAAAAATACAAGTGTCACCAAAGGCAATTATGTTTTTCCTTTTTTGACATAATTTATAGTTAGCATTTATTGAGCACCCACTAGGTACCACATGATTTATATACATTATCATAGTTATTCTTCAAAAAATCCCATAGACTAGGTAGTGTTATTCTCGCAGCCACACTGCTACCAAGCGGCAGAACTGAAAGAGAAACGATAGCTGACAGTGTCCAGTCATTTCATGATGTTTATTTTTCTAGTTACAGTGTGCCTCACACTATGCTGGACAATAAGGTATAAATATGAATAAGTCACTGCCCTGTCCTCCAGGAGTTTACTGGCTGGTACCAAATCAACATGTAAGCAATTACAAAGCAATGTTGGTAAGTTCTATAGTAGAAGGTATTACTGGAACAGAAGAGGGAGTAGCTATTACCTATAAAACAAACTACTGAAGAAAGCAGTCTTATTTGGGATACCAGTAAAAGTGGATTTGTTGATCTTGCCTTTAAAATGTATCATTTGAAGATTTTAGAAGTTCAAAAAATATACACTGTAGATATATGTGTGTGTGTGTGTATATATATATAGCATCTAGTCTCCCCCTCACCTAAGTCCTCAAAAGACAGCAGACTTTCAAGATTTTACAGATTAATTTCATCAAACAATGTAAGGAAATGTTATGAACTGAATTGTGTCCCCCCAAAATATGTGTTAGAATCCTAACGCCTATACCTGTGAATATAATCCTGTTTGGAAATAGGGTTCTTTGCTATGTTAATGAGGCCACAGTAGTGTAGGGTATGTCCTAAACCTGATCACTTCTGAGTTATAAAAAACACAGAATCCTAAGCACAAATAGGGGTGGGAGGGGGGTGAGGCCACGTGAAGATCAAGTAAATGAGAAACGCTGGGTTTACAGAAGATGAACGAGACATGGATCCCCCCGAGAGCTAACAGCCTTCCTCTAGAGCCAGTACCTTGAATCTGGGCTTTTAGCCTTCTGAACTGTGAGAAAATAAATTTCTATTCTTTAAAGCCATCCACTTGTGATATTTCTGATACAGAAGCACTGGGAAACTAACACAGGGACCATTTCTTAAGCTGTTTCAGAGGTTAGAAAAAGGGAATAATCACTAATTCATTTAGAGACTTGTGAAATCTCTATGTCAAAACTTTGCAAAGATAATACACAGCACTGAAGGCCACTGTATATGCTCTCATCTCTGGCCTTTGCATGTGATGCTTCTCTACCTCAAATACCCCTCCCTCAAAACTGTCCCCATTTGCACCACTATTTCTCTTTGTTAACTCTTAATCCTTCCCCTTCACCACTCCACTCACATATACCTGGTCCAATATTATCTTCCCTGTGCCCCTCTCCCTGGTTGGACATTAGACCTCTATCATAGCCATCCTCACACTGTCATGTCCCACTATGCAATCACTTGCCCATCTTCCATATCAGTCAGCGAGCAACATGACGCTACCTTATCCCTCAGGTGCACTGCATAATGCCTGGCACACCAGGAGGTACATGACTCACCTGCCCAGAATGGATTGCCTACTTAACAAGTGCTAATTAATTTTGCAGCAGTGACTGAAACGTGGCCACACGAAGAGCAACAGGCAGGCTTGTGCACGAGGTAGCCCGAGGATCTCCTTCAAGGAGAATTTGGAAAGAGGCAATATAAACATTCTTGTTCTCAAAAGCCTCACTCTTCAATGGATTGAATAGCAGAAAGCTTAAAAAAGCCTAATTTGTTTCCCTCTTCATCTTTAATTCCTTAGGGAGAAATAACAATCGTGGTTGACATTAAAGAGGAAAAGCCAAAAGAGGATCTGTGCATATCTCTGAGATCAACAGCTTTGCTTCCTTGCCTCCTTAGCCCCTGCAGATAGGCTGTTGCTTCCAGATGTGGGATGGAGTGGTGGATGCAAGCAAATGTGCAAATCCTTGGCCTGGTTCACAGCAAGAAGCCCCACAGACATTCGACCAATAACCTTCTCCTGAGGACAATCCTATGTTTATTCCCAAACCTATGGGAATCTGGACTAATAAACTGAAAATAGTCACTTAAGAGCTGGAGTAGCAAACTGAGGTTGGTGTTTCCTATGTGCCAGCCACTGTACATGTATAGGCAGCCCTCCTCATACCTATGTTATATACTTCATCCCCCTGTCCCCATTGCCAAGTGAGGGCAATGATACTCTAGGAATGTAGTTACTTACCCAAGGTCACATCTTGGAGCTAGAATTCAAACTCAGGTGTAATATGTTTTTCAGAAAATCCATCCTTGTTCTGCTAAACCACAGGTTAAAAATCAAAGGCCTGTAGTCTGTATTTGGCTCACAGACAGGTATGTAAAAATCTAATTTTCCTGCTTCTCCTGAAACAATTCTAAGATTTGTCAACACTCAGTTGGAACAGAATAATCCCCTTTGGACAAGGAACACACTTTCCCAGTTTACCATACCTTCTTTTTTTAAGTTTCCTACTCCTGAAAATATTTGAGTGTGCAACTCTTGCACCATAGTTAACATGCCATCCTTTATTTTAGAACAAAATTTTTCCAAAGTATATATGAGCAAAATGCTAATTCATGTTGGTCCTCATCTTTTCCTGACAGGCAAAACTGGCCTGATTTAGCTCAGGTGAGTAAGCACAGGCACCTGGCATAGAGGCAGGAAGTCCTGTCCTTTGGAGCCAGTTTAGACTACAGTGCCACACCATCACCCTGAGGCCTCATTTTCTCCCACTGCCAGCTGGTTTCTCAGCCCAGCAGTTACTGCCGTGCTAGGATAGAAAGGCATTCACAGTGGCACTGGAAGTTGAGGAACAAAAGTACAGCATGAGAATACCAGCTGA